ATGGCAGTTAGATTACATGTAGGTTTCAACAGTCTTTCTCATTGTACATTTTAACTACTTTCACCTTGGCTGTGGAGGTGCTCAAATCTCATCTGAAAAAGAGGGTGGTATTTTCACAGCCTCTGCACAATGTGGGCAATGGTGAGTCAGTCGGTAATACATGTTGATATCAGAAAAATGAGGAACTCAACATTGTGAAAAAAAGATTGATTTTGTCCTTGAGGCTTGAACGATGAGATGAGAATCTTGTTAGTGAGCGGTGAGGAGACCTATCTGCGTATATTTACATTTTATTAGTACCTAACCTCGAACTAATTTACACACAATCACCTATTCTCCCAAGCGCTAAGGGAAATTGGATCATGTCAATTCACAACAAAAAAGTCTGAGCAGGTACCTGCCACTTGCTCATATGGGCCACATAGACGTCGCCAACATTCCACAGGCAGTGACTGCAGCACCGTGTTATAGAATCCCCACGGTGTGGAAAGAGGCCATTCAACCCATCAAGTCTGTACTGACCCTCCTAAGAGCATCCCGCCCAGATCCAGCCCTCCACCTTATCCCGCGCATCACTGGACATCACAAATCAGCTTAACATGGCCAATCCACCTAACCCGCACATCTTTGGACTGTGGGAGGAAATTAGAGCACACGGAGGAAACCCGCTGGGAAATCATACAAGCTCCACACAGCCCCCATTGCCCGAGGCTGGAATCGAACGTGGGTCCCTGGCGCTGAGAGAGAGCAGTGCTAATTATTGCGCTACCATGTGGCTGTGCTGTCCGTGAGGCTGGTTGGACTACATCATCATTACACATCTCTGATTTACTTAAAATCCATTTAAGTTCTGCACTGTAGAGTGCACTGACGCCTATCACTGTAATGCTGCTGACAAAGCTGCTTTACACGCAGGGACAAAAACCTCGTCCATCAGAGCAGGGTGGGTCATAGGGCTCTTAGATTGCTCTCTTAGTGCTCACTCACTGTGCACCTGGTGCTGACAGCATCTGTGTGTTGCCTTAACTTTTTGCATGTTGTTGCCTCATTCAGGGCTTAAAGGCTCACAGTAATTCTGTTTTGCCTTGACATTTAGCACTGACAGAAAGCTAGGCAGCGTATTACAGTTGTCTACAGTGATCAGTCAATGGGGCAGGCATATTGCAGTACTGCACCATGATACATGAATGTCACAACGACAGTAGCTTATGCATGCACTTCAAACAAATGGATTTGTCACAAGTCTAAGAAGAGTAGTCAAGTCAGGTCAAAGGAAACTGTCATCAGTCAAAAGGTATCACCACAGTCAGTCAAGGGCAGCATCCAATCTCAGTCCAGGGGTTTGGACTTGGTAAGTCAGCCCCTTGAGTTAGTCATGCTTGGGGTTCATGAAAGGTCAATCATGCAGATCCATCACAACCAATCTGAGGTGGGTCAGAGATTAGTCAGAGGTCCTGTCATTCATCAGTCAAGGTTGTCCACCCAGGTCCAATGTGGCTGGGCTAAGGGCAGTCTTGGGGATATGTTCACTGAAAGTCAAGACAGGTTATCATGGACCACTGGTGTGGTAGAGCAGTTGGGGGAGTTAATTGTGGGGATTTGAGGCCGCATGCTGGGATGCAGAGGGGAAAATAATTGAAAAGGAGCAACTCAACATATAAGGAGGGGAAATGATGGTGCATTGAAAAACATGGGTTACTGTGAGAGGAAGGATTATTGATAGCTGCATCCACCCTGGCCCTGACAAGATGATAGTTGGTAGGCAGAACTGAGCTGTAATGCCAGAGCTCGGAAGCTAATGTTCAGAGATAAATTCGTAAATGAAAAGAATTGGGTGTGAATGCGTGGAAACTTAGAGTTGGAGTTGACAGGGAATGCAAGGACAAAGCAACACAAACTCTTGGGGGTGCCCTTGACTACCAAGCTGACCCTACAACTCACTCTGCCAAGTATAACCTGCGTTGACTTCCACCCTCATACATGTGAAATACATGCACTGTCCAACTGTGTGGGATAGAAATCCTGGTCACAAGCAATCGTGACCATGTCATTGGACATTGCAGATTAATCACAGTCATTTCTCGGAAGCAGAAGTAATCGTGGGTGACCTTAAAACTATCAGCTGTAGCTACAATTCACAAAGATAGTCCAAGGTCACTGAGAGTTCTTTCCTTCACAGATGCTGCCAGACCTGCTGAGCTTTTCCAGCAACTTTGTCTTTGTTCTTGGTCACAGAAGTAGCACAGAAGTACAGAACTGATTTCCTCTCACTTGACCTGTAAATATTAGCCCAAATGCTTCTTGGAAGATATCTTCTTGGAAGATATGTTCTGCATACCCCCATTCACCTTGAATATGCGCCCCCCCCCCCCCCTCCCCCCCATCACTGTCCATCTCCCCACTTCTGGAAATGCTTCTACTTTACCATCTCCCCCTTCCCAAAGCCTGATTCCCCAAACCCTACTGTCAGTGATCCCTTCCTATTGCCCCTGCAGGCTGCCCTTGCACTCAGCAGAATGATCGATGGATGAACCCCCTGGACTTCATTCATCCCAGACATCTGACTGAATTTGGTAATTACCCCCTAGATGTGACTAATCAGAGCCCTGACCATTGCATTGGCAGCTTCCCAACTAACATTCCCTTAACTGCTTATGTCAGCTCCTCAAGACAGACAATTGGCCACTCCCCAGACTATGTTAGGACAGATCCCTGACCACGAGCAGCTCGAGCAGACAATTGATGATGGTCAATCTCCTGGACTGCATCCAGACTGTGGTGCTGGGACCCTCTGAGCAACAGTGGCCCTCACCTTGCTAAGACCGTGGACCAACCCCAACCCAATTTCCAAAATGGCTGTTAAGTTGAAAAAATGTGAAGTGCGTTTGCTGCATGCTGTAGGTACTAGATTAATGTCTCAATCTGCTGTATAGTCATTTCCCCCCTCAACCCCACTATCTCCACCCTAGACAGATCCCTACTAATTAGCATGACACAGCCTGTGTGTGCATCTACACTAAAGATGCCTTAATACAGCAACGCTGAAAGCTTTTTGACTCTGGCACAGCAAAGCAACAGATGTATTGTATGAGCATGCAGCTAACACTATGTGTGCTCATAGAAACCCTACAGTGCAGATAGATGCCATTTGGCCCTTCAAGTCTGCACTGAGTCTACAAAGAACAACCAGTCAGAACCAAATCCCCCCATCCTATCCCCATAGCCCCACATTTCTCATGGTTAATCCATCTACCTCACATATATCTGGATGCTAGGGGCAATTTAACATGGCCAAGCCACTTAACGTGGACATCTTCGGACTGTGAGAGGAAACTGGAACAGCCAGTGGAAACCCACTCAGACAGAGGGAGAACGTGCAAGCTCCACACAGTCACCTAAGGCTGGAATCGAACCCAAATCCTTAGCACTGTGAGCCAGCAGTGCTAACCACTGTGTTGACTTAGTGCTTTAAGAACAAGTGAGAAGCCTTAAGATGCTGCTTGGTCCAAGCTTGAGCTTGGTGCCTGTCCAGCCTTGTGAGGATGTGATTGAGGTTGAAAAGAACCACAGCAGTCTTCTGAGGAGAGAGAGAGGAGGACATTGCGCAAAAAGAACATCATCTTCACAGCAGTTCAGTATTGGACACAAGAAGCCAGACAGGACTTAAATGATACCAATTTCTAATCGGTGAGAACTGGATGCAGTGATCACTCACTGACTGTAAATTTGTTGCTGCTTGAAAGGCAAGCGGTGCCTGTCGCCAGGAACAATGCAGCAGTTTTAAAATTTGTTTGTTCTTTGTTTTTGACATTGTTCAACAGAAGTGGACAATTTCAACTGCTGAAGCCTGTCCAACGTGTGATCCTCCCACCTTGAACAATGACACAATGTTATGCAATGCTGATCATTAGGGAAAGAATAGCACTACTTCAGCCAGGGTTCCAACATCGAATGGCACGAAGATTAAGTAGCATCTGTAGCTTGATTCTCGTAGCTGCTGTTACAATTAATGTCGATCAGAAAGATGCTGATGTAAAATCGCAGTATGTTTATGGAATGTGCAGTTCTATTTGCCAATGAAGTATCAGCTGTGATTGTTGTGTGCCATTAAAAGTTGTTCTTTTTATTTCCCTCCCAGTACATGAATGGTGAAGGGACAGTCATGTTTGGCAGCGATTGACCTAGTGGTCAGCTGAGGTTTAAATATTGTAAGGCAGCAGAAATCCAGGAAGGTCCCAGCAGTGGCAGATAAATCCACAACTGGTTGGTGCACAAAAATGCAAGTGTGGCATTTTAGAGGCATGGTGCATTTGTAAGGAAAAGAGCAGTGTAAAACTATGAGATAACCTGCTGCAGCTCATGGGGAGAAACTCTTCAAGACATTCCCTAAGACTGACACTTAACCAATTTTTGCTAAAATTCAGCCCAAATTCTTTTATTTGACTAACCTACTCTCCTGTGTAAGAATATGAACCATGTTTTGTGATTTGTTCTGGATTCTTATCTTAAATACCCTCTTTGTGACCCAGAATATTTACAGGAGGGAACATAACTCTGCTACCAGCCCCTGTTCTATGTCACTTAAGAAAACTCAGCACTAACATTAAATGACAAAACATACTTTAAAAAAGGTTCAGTTAAAGTGTATTGACACTAATGAACATAAAAATATCAAGATTAAAAGAATTGATGAGATGTTACCAGGCTAGCATTATTATTATCCTCATTGTCACGCCTTTGGTCCTTGAAGTTGTCAGGGCAGCTCTGTGACCTTGAAATTCTGTTTTCCAAGTTATGTTGCTGTCCAAGAACTTCTGAAACATTCCCACCCAAAATGTCTCTCACGATCATTGGGTTGTCCTTGATGTGTATGTTGCTTAGATCCTTTTGCTTTATCTGAAACGCTTCTGCAGTCAAACCTGGCTGTGTCTCAACAACATAAAGCTCCTCATCAGTATCATTGTTGTTCAGGAGCATAAAACAATTTTTGGAGAAGCAAATGATACTTGGTGTATGTTTAATAACTTTCAAATATCGTCTCTGTACAGTTTCCGGTTTGGGCCTCAACTCTTGAGAAGACAGAGACTCCTTTTGACTCAATGCGAAGTCACAGCCATCTTTCACAGTCATATCACTCAAGCTCCTTCCTTTGGGAAGCACAGAAGTGTGAGTATAGTTTTGATCAACATATGCAATGGGAAAATCAACAGTGGTAGTTTTCTCAGGTGGGGACAACTCTGGTGATGTGATCTGGTGAGCCATGTCTTTACTTGTATTTTAATTCTGTCTCCAGAGTTTGTTTTGAATTAACTGTGGATCTTCTGCCAATTCAAATGAATTCAGATCTCGAGACTTATTTTTCTCTTAGAAAATATCCTTCTCGCAGCCTCTCAGCAAGCCTGTTGAAAGAACAATATTTTTAATTCTAAATTATATCCTTTCAATTTGTTAAAAAGGACACATTCAGCTGGCCAACTCATGCTCCTTGAATGACAAAATTGAATAGAAAGTCTTATTAGTCATTTTTACAGACAGAATTTCATCATCTGGAATATTTTTGGTTTGATTTATTTCAAAGGAACTAAAAGTGTTGTTCCTGTGAAAGGAGCCAACACAGACTCTCTCACACACATAACGCACATGCACTATCACTCTCACACCGACACCACAGACTCTCTCTGACACACACGTATATGAGAGACTGTGTGAGTGAGTGAGATAGGAAGGATGTGGGTATGTGACTGTGAGAGGGAGAGGGGGTGTGTGCATTCATGCATGTGACAGAGTGAGATTGTCAATATTTGAGAGTGTGATAGAGAATCTTTGAGCGAGAGTGAGAGACAGGGTATGTGTGTATGTATCGGAGAGTGTGCGTGTCTGTGAGAGAGAGAGAGAGAGACAGAGAATATATGCGTGAGTGACTTCGAAAGAGAGGGTGTATGTAAAAGAGAGTGTCCCTGAGAGAGGGAAAGAGAAAGAATGAGATGGTGTGCACGTCTGAGAGTGAGAATACTGAGGATGTGGGAGAGAAAATGTATGTTTGTATATGAGATAGTGAGTATGTGTGTCTGTGAGAGAAAGAAACACAGGATGTGTGTCAGTCTGCATAGGTATGTGTGTGAGAGAGAAGCTAGTTTGTGAAAGACAAGGTGTGACTTTGTGTGTAAGACATAAAAAGAAAAAGAAGATTTGTGAATGTGTGTGAAAGAGAGAGTGTAAGAGATAGGAGTGAGAGGGGAGAGTGGAGGTGTCTATATCTGAGAGAGATAGACGAGGTATGTGTGTAAGAGAGAGCGTGTGTAAAAGGTTTTATGTGTATGAAAGAGAGTTTGTGTATGAGAGAGTTAATGTGTGTGTGGAGAGTGTGAAGTGAAAGTGAGAACTGTGTGTCTGTAAAAGAGAAAAAATGAGTGTAACTGTGTGAAAGAGAGAGAGAAAAAAAAGCGATAGAGGAACTGGACGAGAAACATTAAGTCTGTTATTTCTCTCCACAGATGCTGCCAGGCCTGCTGAGTTGCTTTCTGTTTTTGTGAAAGAGAGATATGTCTGTTTGCATGTGGAAGAGAGGCCGTCTATGAGTGGGAGTGTTAGAAAGAATGTGAGATTGAGCATGTGAGAGAGAATATGTGACAGTGGGAAAAAGAGTGAGAGAGAGAGAGTATGTGTGTGTGAGATAGCATCAGAGAGAGATTTCAAAAGAGAGAGAGAGTCTGTGTGTGAGTAAGTGTCTGTGTTATGTTGTAAAGACCACATCTTTTTATTTTCCTGTACTTCTGATCATGGAGTGAATTGGAAAAAGGGCTATTTTTAAAACCAAAGTTGTAGAAAAATTTGCTGCAGTTTTAAAAAGTGAGTTGCTGAACCTCATTCTAATTCACGTTTACACTGTTGTTTTGATCCAGCAGTGGGGAAGCTGTTTATAGATGGACATCTGTGTACAGTAAGATTCAGCTGGGTTCTGGAGTGGCTTGTGAAGTTGTGATCAGCTGTGGATGATAAAGGCCATCAGTCAGTCAACAGCTTGGCTTGATTGGCTGCTGGGTAGCTGAACAGCTTGTGGGTATAAACAATACCCAGAAGCTGTTGGACTCGTTACAAAGAAATGGTCAAACCCCTCCGATAATTAAAACAGAAACTCCCAGAGAAGCTCGCCTCACCTTGTAACCTGTTAAAAGAAATGTGAAAAGTGGTATAACCCGCTTCTCACATCACAATCTGTTATAAAGGAGAGGTGAAATAAAATGAACTCCTGACAGTCACTCTACAAATCAACAAGTAACAATTTATTTATCTAACTCTACTAGTTAACAAATTAACAGAACTACTAACAAACAGAACAATTCCACCTTAACTACTAACTATTTCCGACTAAAACAAAATTCTAATGGTATGTTGTTCTAATAGATACAAGTACCACTTATATAAACAAAATTAATTTAAAAAATTAAAACTTAGTCTCTCAAAGTTACAACCAGGCTAAGTCTTCCAGAATGCTCTGTACCCTCTCCACTGTCCTCCAGTCAGGAATGCCGTCCTCTGTCAAACTTTTGTCAGGAATATTAGCTAAGAGTGCCATAGCACCTTTATTTAAATAGTGCTCACTCTGACATCTTAGAGATTTCTGTGAGAGCCAGTGATTTTCTCTTTCTTTAGAACTGATGGCTGTTGAGAGCTGTTCTGTTAACAGATGGCAGTTTGCTGTCACACTGATTTTCAAATGCCCTCTTCTTTTATACCCTTGATGACCTATTAATTTCTTACAATAGGAATTGTCCAAAGTTGTCAAAACCATCAGGTTTAAATTTAATTTGGCTTTGGTATATAGGGCCTGGTTTAAATTTATTGGCTAAATTCAAAAACCTGTTGTCTCAGTAAAAATGCTGATTTGCCTGCTAACAGTATAGCCTTTTGATACAATGTTTCAATTTCAAGAACTCTGTGCATCTGCTGCTGCCTGCAGACTTATGTTTTGATCTCCAAGCCTTAAAAAACACATCTTTTAAAGTGACCACGCACTCTTCACCCCATCATTTTACAAACAAATTCTAACACCCTGCCTTCCAATCCACAAGTACTATACCAACTTCACAACAGACTGCTGAAAAGAACAGATGGTGTACTTTTCTCTCTGATAAAATACCTAACCTTGAAGAAAGCCTGTATATTTTCTTGACTAGTTGCTGGAAGGTCTGGCCTTTAACCATTAACTAAGAGACTTTGCAGTTAGAGTAACAGCCAACGTGTCACTTGCAAATAAGTGAAAAGAACCTGGAGAAAAGAGATTGAAAAACAAAAAATTCCTGGAAGGCTGAAGGATTGTCTCAGTGAATCCTGTGGTCTGGGGCCATTGATCTGCTTCCCTAATGTTTCTTTCCCTTCACAAAAAAAATGTCTTATTTTGCCTGTTTATGTATGTAGGGAGTGGGGGATGTTGTAAGGGGTGTAGAGTTACAACTAGTGTTATGTGTCAATAGTTCATAGTTGTTTACCTATGGTTAAAATCCATTCATTTGTCATAAATAGTAGCACTTGTTAAGTACAGAAACCTGGCCTGTGTTTTCTATTATTTTGGGTCTATCCAACAGATCAATTGGAGTGAGAGTTAGAGAGTGAGAGAAAGGATGTGTGAGAGTGAGCGTATGACATTGTGTGAGTTTGTGTGTGTCTGAGTGAAATAGGTTTGGGAGTGTGGCAGAGGGATTGAAAAAGTGAGTGAGCCATTCTGAGACTAAATGCACTAGAAGCACACCCACCCTTCCCCTCCTCCCTTTTTTCATCATCTCCAAAGACCTGTCCACAAAGCAAGTGAGGAGAAGCAAATTTGAGGCTGATCCCCAGTTCTGTGCAAATTCCGCTGAGGCCAGTTCAGAGAGGTGACCTCTACACCACCAGAGGCAAAAGTAAGGTCACCATTAGTTGATCTAAACTTAGTTTGGTCCCGATTTGCACCCTTTTCCTTTGTATCAGGACTTGGAGCCTAATCTGTCTCTCTCGCGATAGCTTTGCTTCTTCACCAAGATGGCAAAAAAGAAATTTTATTAGTTAGCTCTAATATTCAACACTTGTAATGATCATTTTTATCAATTATGCATTTCATTAAATTATCAATTAATTGCTTTTGAACTGTGTTTTTAAATTCACATTTACCTTTGTGCCAAAACATATCTTTCAGAAATTTGCTCACCTGCATCCCAAGTATGGGAAAAATTTAAATGTGTCCCATACCACCCCTCCCTCCACCCGAAAGATTTGGACAACCCTGTTCTGGATGGAACAAATATTTGTTTATTTCATAAAAATGACCATTAAGAAGTGCCAAGTAGTAGATGTGACTAATAAAATCTTTTCTTGCCATCTTCTGTTTGCCTACAGAGGTGGGTACAAAGGAGACCATAGCATGATTTGAAGTAATGCAGAACATTCTCCTGGTTTCCTAGCCATTGTTCCTCTTTCAAATAGTAAAACTGAAATCACACTATCTGGTCATTCAAACGTTCATTCATTTGTAGGTTAATTCAATGTGCAATCTGTTTGTTGTATTTGCAGATACTGCAAAAGTAATTTTGATTGTAAAATGCTTTGGGAAATTCTGAGAAGGTGATGAAGTGTTACAAAAGATCAGTCTTTGGGTCCCAACCCGAAACGTCAACTTTTCTGCTCCTCTGATGCTGCCTGGCCTGCTGTGTTCCTCCAGCTCCACACTGTGTTCTCTCTGACTCCAGCATTGGCACTCTCACACATCCTTCACTATGTAAAGTATTCTGATCTTATGTTTGCGTTGAAAGTCAGCAGATTGGGCTATGGTATGGTATCATTCATAAATAAATGGCTTACTAACATTCACTGAATAAGTTAGTACATGAAGAATGAGTGGTCTGTTGATTGATACAGATTGAAGAAATAAACAAAAATCAGGAACTGCAACTTGGCAAATGTTGATACTTTCAGGAAGGGAAGGGTGAAAATCAGAACAAAAAAAATTGTAAGTATTTTGAGGTCACGCAGAGCATGAGTTGAAAGTGATAAATTTGCTCCTACATTGTCCTTAAAATTAATGCTAATCTCAGGGTCTTTGGGAAATTGAACTTTGCATTTCTGATGGCAGGAGTAATAATGCCAACAACCAGTATTAAATATAATGCAATGCCTTTAATGTTGTAAAATGTCCAAAAGCACAATACAGAAGCATTTTCAATAAACTTTGATACCAGGCCACAGAAAAAGATATTAGAACAAAGGACCAAAGGTTTCATCAGCAAAGTAGGTTTTAAAGTAAAATCCTAAAGAAAAAGAGAGAGGTATACAGTTTAAGGGGTATAGAATTTTCAAGGCAGGAATGACAAAAATCAGTGATGCACAACATGCCAAATTGAAAGAATGAAGAGATTATGGAGAGTTC